CAGTCCGAAACAGAGTCGTGTTCAGACAATTACTACTAGACATGATTGTTCGTAATAACACTTTCTACTCTGTATATATTCCTGTTTGTAATATATCTGTGTTATTCCATATCCGTGTTCGAGTTCTTCTTTATTGGTTGTACCTTGGACTATGACCGTGGTACAAGGAACCGGACCATAACACTTGTCTATATTATTAAATGAAACATGCATTTATATATATATATATATATATATATATATATATATATATATATATATATATACATATATATATACTAGTAATAATCTTATAAGTATAAGAAATTATATTCGTCCGGAAAACCTTCGGTGTCTTGATTTGCGAATAATCAAGCCAATACCAAAGGGGGAAAAAAAGGTATAAAAAAGAGAAAGAACCAAAAACATGTACATTAGCGGAAAATAATCGTCTAGCCTCCAAGTCCAAAGTCCAAAGATAAAAAAAACCGATACGAGTAAGCAAAATAACTAAATAAAGTGCTCAATACGGTAAGTAGAGCAGACCTAATTAAACCTAAAGAGCCAGACAAACCTACCAAGGTTTCACCTACGCGGATCATCAGGGAAAGCTGGCTAAAGAGGTGACGGACGAACGGAATATATAGCCTGACGATCCGCGTAGGTGAAACCTTGGTAGGTTTGTCTGGCTCTTGAGGTTTAATTATATATATATATATATATATAATTTCGCCCCACCAAAACAATACGGTCATGCTTCTATGACGGGGAATATTACAGGGTGTGAAAATGAGCGAGAATCTGAAAACTGAGAATAGGGAGGATTGAGGAAAGTGATTCAAGCAAACAGAATCCTTTGTTTGACCGTAAAGGAAAGTTAACCCTTTTTACAGCTTATATTGTTAACAACATGATACAAAATTTTGTCCAGTTGCTACTTGTTAGGTTTGAACAGTCTGTATTTCTGAGGCATTGTAATTATTTATACTATGTGCTTTGTTCAATTCGTTCTCCTCATGTTTAGTGCCATATTCACAGTCTATATTTCTGACATGAGTTAGTGTAACTATTTACGTTATTTATACTGTTCGGACTGTTATCCTCATTTTTATTGTCATATTCACGACGTTTCTGCCCTTGTACGTTCCGACATTCTTCAGGTATTATACGTTGGAATTTCGAACCGAACCCTTCATTTAGTCCACTGGGGAAGATTTGGCACATGGCCCAGTGGATAAAAGCTGTGGTTGCAGTCATCCAGTGACTTGACCCAAAGAGTTATGAGTTCAATACCTGGCCACAGCAGAGATGAACAAAACCTGGAGAGTTGAGTTACTCAAGGGAAATAACTAAAACTGAGATATCCGCAAAGGCATGGCACGTGGAACTAGAACAATCTAACCCAGTGCACTAAATGAAGTGTTCGAAATTCCAACGTATATCACCTGAAGAAGGCCGGAGCGTTTAAATGGCCGAAACGTCATGAATATGATCATAAATGTTATGTAGTGGTTTTCACAGTGGAGGCTTGTATTTGTACTAAGTCGGTCCTAAAATAGGTTCGACGTACAAAACGTTAGGAACTTGATATAATAGGTAATGACGCAGTACTCTAGTGGTGGTCGCTGATACTTTAATATCCGACTAACGGTCGTCCGACATCGACTGACTGACCAACGATATTTCGCCCCCCCCACGAGGGAATCATGTGGCACAAGGCCGGTTTAACGTGAGCTCTTCGAACCCGTGTGCTCGGCCAAAAATATGCCCATTGAACCCGTATAAACGGGTTCAGGGTCGGTTTACCTACCCAAAAGAAACTCCGCCCTTCGGCGTAGCCTTCTTCGGGTTCCTCCCCGCCCGAAGGCAGAGAGTTCAACCGATCAGCCAGTCGACTGACTGACCGAACCACTGAGCGACTGCTACTACTCCTAATTATTATAGGTGGGAGAGTCTATTAACTATAGAATAGGTGTGTTCCACTATAACAATAAAGATGAGGACAGCTGTCCGAACAATATAAGTAATGTAAATCATCAGATATCAGTTAATATGGAAACAATGACGTTATTAATGAAAAAGAGATGAAATTAATGATTGCAAGTTTAGGCAGTTCTTTCGTACTCAGCCTATGAACATTTTATCTGACATTTTGACATCGAAAGAAAAAGTAAATGAGACAAAGCGTTTGGCAAATTAACTATCCGTCATTTTATAGGCCTAAGACATTTTAGGTCACCTGGACGTGGTATAGTTTGTTGGCAGGCTTGTCTCGTTAAAACAATTACGGTTGAGTATTGGGTTCGATCATCACTGTCTGCTCCATATTTTCGGTCTTGTGTCACATCTAAGCTACGCTTGGAAAATTACTATATATCATGATCACGTGACCCGTACTGGACCTGGTGTTCCTTGGGCAAGATGGAATTCAGAGTTTTCCTTCTCTTAGATATGTTGCCAAGCAAGTCTACAGAGCTCACTTTATCCTGCTATTTAACTATATAAAAGCAGAAAAAATACAGCAATACAATTTTGAAAGAAATATATTACCAGAAACAGATTTTTGACAAAACAAAATATTACCTACAATAAAAGATTTTGTCGGCATCGAATAGCACATTGGGGTTGATATGCCGTTAAACAAAATAAACCAAATCAATCTAAACCAAAGAATACATATTCTATTCATACGAATCTATCCTAAAAATATTGTCGGCATTAAATAACCTATTGAGGTTGATATGCCGTAAAACAAAATAAACCAAAATCAATCTAAACCAAAGAATACATATTCTATTCATACGAATCTATCCTAAAAATATTGTCGGCATTAAATAACCTATTGAGGTTGATATGCCGTAAAACAAAATAAACCAAATCAATCTAAACCAAAGAATACATATTCTATTCATACGAATCTCTCCTAAAAATGTTGTCGGCATTAAATAACCCATTGAGGTTGATATGCCGTAAAACAAAATAAACCAAACCAATCTAAACCAAAGAATACATATTTTATTCATACGAATCTATCCTAAAAATGTTGTCGGCATTAAATAACACATTGAGGTTAATATGCCGTAAAACAAAATAAACGAAACCAATCTAAACCAAAGAATACATATTCTATTCATACAAATCTATCCTAAAAATGTTGGCATTAAATAACACATTGAATTTGAAATGCCGTTAAACAAAATAAACCAAACCAAACCAATTTAACATTTTCTAAGGGTACTGGAAATGTAACGAACTCGACTGGAATTCGAACTCGTCGTCCCTATTTTCTCAATCCACTTCACCGCACTGCACTCACTTACACATTTGTCGAATAGTTATTAGTCCAGATACATAAATCATATGCAAGTTTTTTAACTGCAGCTGCTTTTATTAACTGAAAGTTAATTAAATACTCTCATGATAAAGAACAAATTTTATAATTGAACGCAGAAAGCAATACATTAGATAACTTTATCGAAATAAGAATTTATTTCTAATTAGACAAATTCCCCAACCAAATCGTTTCTGCGTTAGGTGTGTACATCTTTCGTGCAAATATTCCTTATCGATCCAAGACAATAATTGTAGAAAAAAAAAGAAAAGAAAAAGAAAGTTTATCTTTACTATGAATTTTTCATTATTAAAGTTTTAATTAAATTTCCGGTGATACACGTAAGAAGGTTTTTATTAGGCAAGTCAATGTGTTCACAATGAAATTCGTATAAGACAAATGATGTTAGTTACATTTACATAATAAATATACTATGATATATTTACATTATATACGTGAAGATTTTTGCCATGTTAATTAATCTATCTATCTTAGTATATTTTATGGTTATACGTTATTTATATATACACAAATAATCAAGTAAATGCTCTGTCTATAATAAACTGTATTAACAACATTTACCGGACTGAACATCCGAGAAATTTCATAGAAAATATGTATCCTCCGCAAGGAATCGAACCTGTATACTACACGGGACTGTCATATAGCCTGACGTGCTATGCCAATTTAGCTACGAAGGAGAGTATGGTTAGAATGGTTGATTTTACTGCTTTTAAATTACAATTTTCTCATTTCGTTCATTTCCCACGAACGTCCATATCTGTTCGAAGGGTATCTTAATGTAAACAAATGATGTCATATGTAAGGAAATGGACTTAGTCCGACAATTCTTTTAATATGCTTTATTGTAATACTATCTCTCTCTCTCTCTCTCTCTATATATATATATATATATATATATATATTTACATATATAAACACATACATATTGCCGTTGTTTTCAACGTATAAAAGTGAAGTAGTTCTTAGAACAAGTAGCCAGACTACATGTATGTGGTGAAGGCTTATACGGAGTCAAAAACCCTTTTTTGGAAGAGCCGGATACAGAGAACTGATGACCAGTATGCCACAAGGCCCCCAAATGTCCCTCCGCAGGTTTTGAATTCAGAGTTGTCCTCCTCCTGGACCATTCACCATCCAAGGCTATAGAACCCAGTCTATACTGATATTTATCCTTTGTCATGAGAAGGGATATATTAATTTCTTTCCCAAGGGTATTAGCACGTAAGTGAATGTAATGGATTCGAACTTGATGCCTCAATCAAAGCCGCGATTCATTAATCTACCAACCCTCAAAAACACACACACACACACACACAGACGCACACACACATATACGTGCACACACAGACACACACACACACACACACACACACATATGTATATATATATATATATATATATATATATATATATATATATATATACTCTGAAGATGGTTCATTTGAGTCGATAGCGTAATTCAAGGAACAGTTTAATATATATATATATATATATATATATATATATATATATAGAGAGAGAGAGAGAGAGAGATAAATAATGGGACAGAGAGACATATACACAGATAGATAGAGTATTAAACAGAGATTCAAAGAATGAGACAGATAGGTGTATATATATATATATATATATATATATATATATATATATATATATCGAAAGAAACATAGATAGATAGATAGATAGATAGATAGATAGATAGATAGATAGATAGATAGATAGATAGATAGAAAATTAAACAGAGAGACAAAGAATGAGACAGGTAGATATATATCAAAAGAAACATAGATAGATAGATAGATAGATAGATAGATAGATAGAATGAAAATGACAGGTAGATGGATAGACTGATAACAAGAAAGAAAGAATGAAAAATTAGAATTAAATTTTTTCATTGTATATTATATATTATTGGCCATATATATATATATATATATATATATATATATATATATATATATATATATATATGTATGTATATATAATAACGAAAAGTCGTAGTTGATAAACTATGATAAATTTGGTGATTAAAAGTCTTCAATCCAAAGTAAAGCCTATATAACGTAAGATAAAAGAAGAATTAAAAATAAAATCGAATCAACTATAGCGTGATCAACAATTTGATTAAAAGGCCAGTACGTTTAGCCGTCAGCCAAGATGACATGTGACTTCGTGCTAGCACAGCTATCGACGGTATCCAAGCGTTCCGTCTACCCAATTTCACTGACAAGGCTTGGTTCAACCCGTGGTATGGTTTTCCAGGCAGGTTTGCAAACCTGTCGCACGCTAGGATCGATCCTTCAAAACCGATAACATCAGGAAATCTCCTTCCTGGAAAATCAACCATGCGGAGATTCGAACCCGGGCCTCATGGCCTGCTATATACTCCCGTCGGTTCGATAAGGTAAAAATTACAGCTGATTATTTTTTTTTCATTTTAATTGTGAATATACGGCTTTTAAAATCTTGGCGGGATCGGTTCCACACAAGCGGCGAATTTTCTTGGTGTGTCCTTGATAAGCAAGCATGGACTACACTTTCACCATCTTGGACTTGTCTGGGGGTATAAAGGTTCCCATTTTCATACAGTCCACTGAACAAGCCCCTGATGATCGCGTGAAAACGTATTAAACTGGTAATCTTTGTAGGTCGCTGTCCACTTGAAAATTTATGTTTGTTTGGTTGATTTTGCTTGGCGGCATATCAAACTCTATGGGTTATTTAATGCCGAAATCTAAATATTTTTTTACATAGTTATATACTTTCAAAGTAAAGTTATATTTTGTAGATCTTAAAGTATATTTTTGGTAATTTTAATATAAAAAATATATTTTTATATTTTAGTTTTGCATTGTCATTTTGCTATAAAAAATATATTGTTTGTGATTTTATTATAAAAATACTTTGTTGATTTTTGTTTGGGGTTTCAATATTTGCCCATATCTAGGACTCTCACAATTTTACCACCACGGGTCAAGGTGGGCCTCGGAACAACAGCAATTACGAAGTGATTTTCGTGCTCCTCAAAATCTCCAGACACTTTTGCTGTTGGATGTAGTCTATCGTCATACCCAGGACTTGACATTTTAACAACGTGTATATATAAAAAAAAAAAAAACAAATCAAATTTCTGTTTAATGTTTTGTCTTTTTCTACTCAGGTACAGAAATGCCATTCACAAGAAAAGAATAAGTGTTTTTTTTTTGTGTTCGTGTGTGTTCTTTTTTTTTTTTTTTAAGCATTACGCCCCAAGCAAGGCGTGAAGCCACTAGGATGCAGGGGGTTGCAGAAGATTTGGAGCGAGAGCAGATAGGAGTGATAGAAGAAAGGATGAGGAGAGGGATAGTGGATAGATCAAGGTAACTGGAGATGTCGACTGACATTACATTTGAATAGTTGGAGATTATATCTCTCAGGGAAACAGTAATTGAGAAGGGTGTTCCACAGGCGAGAGGTGCGAGGTATGAAGCTATTGGAGTAGAAGAGACGGCTACATTTAAAAGTTTCTACGGTGTAGAGGTGGGAGCGGGATGCCAGCTTCGTCAAATAAGAGTGTTCAGTGTGAATTTATGAGAGAATTCACTAGAAAAAAAGACCAACTTCAAAGCAGAGTGGGAGATATCACAAAATGGTCAAAGAGTAAAGCTGTCTGTGCAGGGAGAAAGAACATAGATGGCAATCTGTATCTGAAGAAATGGTCCAGTGTGTTTAGGAAATATTTTGGGAACAGGGTCATGAAATTCACATACTTTTGAATTTCCCATTTGATTTTTGATGCATATATTAGGTTGTCCCAAAAGTTCGTAAACACATGATGGCCTTTATTCTGAGGAATCATTTTTGTTGTTTTTGTTATTACTTGGCGAGTAAAATTTCAATTTTTTGCAAGTGTTTACGAACTTTTGGAAGAACTTAATATTTTTAATTCCAAAATAAACCTGTTTAGCTTCATTTGCCTACATTTTGTACTTACTCAGATATTTACATCTAAAATGATAACTTTTTTGAAATACACTGTATGTACGAACATAAAATAATGCATCCTGGGTATGACGATAAACTACATCCGGCAGCAAGGTCTCTGATCAGGAGATTTTGAGGAGCGGGTAACCCAGGTCTAACCTGACCCGAGGTGGTAGCACCTCTTAGGGTCCCAGCTATGGGCAAATAGTTAACACTCGAGCTGGAATCAAAACACTATAAAAGTATAAAAATAGGTTTTAATACCAGGAATAAATTTTTTTTTTAAATTCCAGCAATAAATTTTTGAAAAAAAAAAAAATTACCAATAATGCATTATTATCTGCAGTACATTTTTGAAAAAGAAAAAAATTACGAGCTGTACATTGTCGAAAAAAAATATTTCCAGGAATACAGTTAAAAAAAAATATATATATATATATATATATTACAGCAATATATTTGTTGAAAAAAAATATTTAAAGACATTTTTATGTTTAACATTCTTTTTATTGATACAAATATTTAAGTAAATGCTCTGTTTATAATAAACAGTATTAAATAACATTTATCGGCCTGAATATCCGAGAAATTTTCATAGAAAATATACGTCCTTCGACAGTATTAGCAATAAAAAATTTGTTGTCATTACAAAAACCATTCAGGTTGATATACCGTAAAAAAAAACAACCCTAACCAAACGAAAGCAAACCAGAAAATAATATTCGAACAAGAAGGATCTCCGGGAACTAAAACAAATATAGTTACTAATAATATCAAAATATAGAAAGGCCCGCAAGACAAGGGTGTGACTTCTCGCCGGATTCATTCAACCTTTGCGGCGAAGCGATCCTTAGAGAACTAAAAGTCCTACCAGGATATATTTTTGTTGGACATAACATATATATATATAATATTGGTATCATACGCAGAAAGGAACCTGCAGGAATTTCTACAGAAGGCAGAAACCAAGACGAAGGAAATGGTTGCCAGCAATAAGAACAGGCTGAGGTGCGAACTCCATCTTATGAAGGACCGAAAATGTGGCATTGAAATCTGAAGATGTAGTATAAAATTGACAGATGCCTTCTGAAAGTGAAGCAAAATATTAAGAAACAGGAAAACTTCGTAACAATCAAAGAAAAGATTACTGAGCTTTCTCCACTATGGTGGTGAATGTCGGACAGTCTTTTTAAAGATGAAGAGACATGAGACAAAAAATTGTGATTCTAGAAAACGACGTTGTCAATACCATAAACTAAACAAGTGAGTACCGAGGAAGCTTTAAGTAAAATGGAAATAAAAAAAAAGACGTATACATTAGAATCTCTCATATACAGAATCCTTAATATCCGGCGTTCCTCATATTCCGGAATCCCGCATGTCCGGAAATGATTTTTATGTGTATATTTGAACTATTTGGTGATATTTCTGTTTTTCAGGAAATTTAGTTTGGATAATTGCTTCTGCTTATTACACCCTAATGGCTAATATTAGTGCAAAAGATGATGGAAATAAGAGGAAAAGAACAACTTTGGAGTTATCGCAAAAAGTGGAAATTTAAAAAAAGATTAGACTTGTAACAAATGGCTGAGTTCAACATAGGAAAGTCAACATTGTATGATATAAGATCTTCCAAAGAAACTATTCTCCAGCGTTTACACTGTCACAATGAAGAAGGAAATAAAAAAAAAAAACCCAAAAACAAGGCTGGCATCCCGCTCTCACCCTTTCACTGTTGAAACTGTTAAATGTAGTCGCCTCTTCTACTCCAATAGCTTCATGCCTCGCACCTCTCGCCTGTGGAACTCCCTCCCCTTTTCCTGTTTCCTTGATAGCTATAATCTTCAACTATTCAAATTTAATGTCAATAGACATACCCTGTCCTTCTCCGCATCCTTTCCTCTATCACTCCTATCTGCTCTCGCTCTATGTAACCCCTTGCGTGTTAGTGGTTTCCAGCCTTGCTTGGGGTGAAATGCTTAATATATATATATATAAGTACTTATATATATATATATTTATTTATATATATATATATATATATATATATATATATATATATATGCATATTTCATTGAAAACGACAGTTTCTCATGCGATCTAATATTCTTTTCTTTTCTCAACCAACTATGGCCAAATTGACAAGAATATAGAGGAGCAAAATCAGCTTTCAAACAAAGTACAGACAGTACAGATCTCTGGTAGTCTCCATTCTCCTATATGGATTTGAAACGTGGAAACTATTGGCAGATATATAGAGAAGGATCCAAGCGTTTGAGAACAAATGCAGGAGAAAACACCTGGACATTTTATATTCGAAACAAAAAAAACAAAGAAGGATTGAAAGTTTTGTGGACCACCGGGAACCTCTTCTCACCACTGTCAAACGGAGAAAAATGGCGTGGTTTGGACACGTTACAAGGTACGAGACCCTGTGCAATACCATTATTCAAGGTACCGTTGAAGGTGGACATAGGAAAGGACGCCAACACTAAAAATGGTCGAACTATGTCAAACAATGGACAGGTATGACTGTACAAGAATTACTGATGGCTGCTGTTGATAGACCGTTGTGGAGGAGATTCAATATGGCTTCTGCATTCGGACCCTCCCGACGATTATAAAAACAAAGTGAATGATGTTGATAATGATACCTATATATATATATATATATATATATATATATATATATATATATATATATATAGTGTGGGGGGGTGATAACGATATATGTAAATTATTATATATCTGTTGTGATCAAGTAAATAGTTAAAGAAATAACAAAACAAGAATTGAAGACTTTTCATATATTAAACAGTAAGTACAACATAAGAGTAATACACGACTAGCGAGTGTGCGTCGGTTTACCCAGCGTTCAATCTAT